TTCGGCCCTGAGTATCCAGCACACACTATAGAAGCTCTGGAGCGCAGCCGTTACATTGATGATCTGCTTGCGTCGAGGCCCACAGTCGAGGACGCTGTGAAAAGCCGCTTGCACTGTCAGGAGATCCTAGCTCACGGTGGATTCCACTTACGCAAGTGGTTGTCTAATAGCGCAGAGGTCGTGGAAAGCGTTCCGGTAGCAGATCGCGCAGCGTCCACAGTGGTCAACGTCGGCGACCATGCGCACTGCACCCTGCCAACAACGAAGACACTGGGAGTAATCTGGTCAGCAAAGCAGGACACCTTCACCTTTCGCTTCCAACAACCTCAGCTTTCAAAACTCACTAGACGATCCGTGCTCAGTGGTGTCGCGACAGCTTTCGACCCACGTGGCCAGATTTCGCCATTCATCATCCGAGCGCGCGTCCTACTGCGGGATACGTGGCTTCTCGGCCTGTCTTGGGATGATGAGCTCCCGTCAACAGTAGCCACTAAGTGGAAGGCGTGGTTTGGCGAACTGCCAGCCCTAGCAGCGATAGCAGCGCCGCGCAGCTTCAAGGCATCAGCAGCATCATCCGTATCCATCCATACCTTCACGGACGCGTCCGACCGCGCTATTGCAGCAGCCACCTACGTTCGAGCTGAAGATAGCTCGGGTGCGGTGCGAGTGACACTCGCCATGGCCAAGGCCAAGACAGCGCCGACCCGTCGTCAGACCATTCCACAGCTGGAGCTTCGTGGAGCAGTGCTCGGACTGAGGATCAGCAGCGGAGTCGGTGATGCGTTGGATGTGCCAATTTCCGAACACACCTTCTGGACCGACTCGATGAATGTTCTGGGATGGATCCGGTCGCACAGCCGTCGATTCAAGGTGGACATTGGCAACCGCGTATCCGAGCTGCAACGTGCCACCAAGCCGTCCCAGTGGCAACATGTTCCCGGAAAACAGAATCCGGCCGACAAGGGTACGCGTGGGCTAGCAGCGGAGGCATTGGCTAGTGAACAAGAATGGTGGCATGGTCCCAAGTTCCTTGCCAAGAGCGCAGACACTTGGCCACAACAACCGCAGCCTGTCCAAACAGTGGACCTCCCTGGAGAGGTTCAACGAGAATCAACGTTCATGGCTGAGAAGGGTTTCACAAGTGCCGCCGTGGTGGAACGACTCCAACAGGAGCAGTATTCAAGATGGCAGCAGTTGGCTCGCATAACAGCGTGGTGCCAACGCTTTATCTGCAACTGCAGACGCCGCGTTGCCACGAAGGGGGAAGGCCATCCCCACGGAGAGATCAACGAGGTCATTGCACTGTTGCAGGTGACAACAGCCACATCAGTGCTTGCAGTGCCAGAGTTAGCAGCGTCAGAGCTACAGGCAGCTGAGGACCACTGGGTACTACAAGCACAGATTGATGTATATGGTTCCACAAGGCATCAGTTAGCAGCCGGCAAGCCAGTGCAAAAGCAAGACCCACTTGCTGCACTAGGACCAGAGCTCGACTCGTCGCGGAAGCAGCTCTTGGTGGTGGGAGGTCGACTGAAAGCATCCAGCCATCTGCCCTATCGGTTGCGTCAGCCAGTCATTCTGCCCGCTAAGCACACTGTCACTAGGTTGATTGTCGAGCAGCAGGACCGAATCTGCAAGCATGCCGCTGGTCCTCAGCACCTCCTGGCCAAGTTGCGTGAGAGGTTCTGGATAGTCAACGGTCTGTCAGTAACGAAAGCTGTGCGCCAAGCTTGTGTTCGATGCCGGCGACAGTGGAGGCCACCAGCATCCCAGATTATGGGTCAGCTACCCGACATCCGTACGGCTGGGTCCCTGCAGGTATTCACTTCATGTGGCATCGACTTTGCGGGCCCATTTCAGACCAAGCAAGGGCGGGGCAGAGCCCAGGCAAAGCGCTACCTATGCCTGTTTACCTGCCTGGAAACGAGAGCCTGCCACCTGGAGTTGGTATACTCTATGGATATCGATGGTTTCCTCTTGGCTCTGACCCGGTTCACCAAGCGGTGGGGCACGCCCCAGCAGATAGTGACAGACAACGGTACGAATTTCTCAGCAGCAGCCCGTGAGTTGCGAGAGGCAGTTGAGCAGCTTGACCGCCGAGAGATTGCCCGAAGCCTGGCGGACAACCGAGTGAGATGGCGGTTCAACCCTCCTCGCGCGCCACACTTTGGTGGTGCATTCGAAGTAATGATCAAGGCCGCAAAGAGAGCCCTATACTCGACTCTTGCCAAAGCCGACATCACCGATGAGGAGCTGCACACGGCGTTTGTCATTGCCGAAGAGCTAATCAACTCCCGCCCGCTGATGCCACTGTCTGCAGACCCCGAGGATCCGGAAGCCCTCACACCACAGCATTTCCTTGCTGGACAATGCAGCCCTCCACTGCCTATTGAGCTTGCCGTAGATGCAAGGGACCGGGTACACCCCCGAGAGCGCTACGTCTTAGTTCAACAGCTCCTGAAGGAAGTGTGGACACGGTGGCTCACGGAGTTCGTGCCATTGCTCAACGCTCGCAAGAAGTGGCGCCGGACGCAGAAGAATGTGGAAGTTGGAGACGTCGTACTATGCATGGAGCCTGACACGCCGCGCGGCAAGTGGCCCATGGGCAGAGTGTGCAACACGTTCCCCGGCCCTGATGGCTGCGTCAGAGTAGTTGACGTCTGCATGCGTGGCAAGACCTACCGCCGATCGATTCACCGGCTCATTCCAATCCTCGATATGGCGGATAATTGAGCAGCCTGGTGACATCGGCCGGTAACGCTATCTCAGCTAAGTATCGCAGTGTGACTCTCGAGCAATGTTTGCAATAGCTATGTAAACTGCATGAGTGTGACACTTGTCTCAGTGTTTCGTTTTTCTCTATCTATTTCTCTTAGTTTGTTCGAGACGGTTCTGATCAATACCTGTAGGTTCTAGTTTGCTCGCTTCATAGCACATTACTGCGGTTACCTCGTACTCACCATTTGTGAGTGAAGGGGGAGATGTTCAGTTGCGGTCTGCTTTCTCGTCCTCTAGCTGTGATCGAGGCCATTGCGGTCATACTGCCTGTTCTCTGTGTTGACCTTAGCTCTCGGTAGTATCGCTATCCATGTATGCGCTCAGCTTGGTTGCACCTCGATGCCTCATGTAATAATGTATTTGGGCGGCGAGCTCCGATTTAGGTTCCGCTCGAGTCAGTTTCGCTGAGCCAGCTTTGCACCGTGTAGCTTTTTTGGTTGTTGTGTTCTTGTGCGTGCGGCATAAGGTTTTTGCGGTACCTTTTGTTTGGCTGCGCTGTAATGCATTGAGAGAGTTTTCTTTAGTAGTACTTAGAACAGAAAGAGTCGGTGCTACTCAGTCTTTAAGAATAACAACAGTCTTGTGAACAATGATACAGTCTTCTGCACCAATGTGTGTGCGCGACAGAACAGTCGTGGTCCGAGGAAGCTGAGACGCTCCCTTCCTACTTGAATCCCAATCGAACTCGCGCACTTCCACCGAAACTGGGTGACTGCGCCCTACTAGATGGGGATTTGTATGCAAAATGTCACTAAAAGCGCCATTTCGTTCTTATAAAAGTATGGATGACCGCGATTGGCCCATATGTTGTAGTCTTTTGGGCGCTGAGTCGATTGGCTTTGGTCCGAAAAGACTGCGATGCAGCGTTCCTCCTTTATTCCCAATCGAACATGGTTGAACAAGGGGTCATGTGCTCCTGCGTACACCAGTCACCTGGTCACCGTGCCTGCAGGGTACAACTTACTGGCCTGTTTGACCTTTTTTGGGTGCAGTCCTGTCACTCGAGTTGAACTCGAGTTGAACCTTGGTTTGAAAGTTGTCGCCTGCTGGCGTGGTGACCAGGTGATTTGGGCACCCAGGAGCACGTGACCGCTTGTTCAACCATGTTCGATTGGGAATAAAGGAGGAACGCTGCATCGCAGCCTTTTCGGACCAAAACCAGTCGACTCAGCGTCCAAAAGACTACAACATATGGGCCAATCGCGGTCATCCGTGCTTTTATAAGAACAAAATGACGCTTTTAGTGACATTTTGCATACAAATCCCTATCTAGTAGGGCGCAGTCACCCAGTTTCGGTGGAAGTGCGCGAGTTCGATTGGGATTCAAGTAGGAAGGGAGCGTCTCAGCTTTCTCGGACCAAGACCATTCGACTCAGCACCCCGAAGACTACAACTGGTGAAATTTTTAATTTTTGCCTTAACTTCCCCTTTAACTTTTCGAATTTCTTGCTAAGATGGGATAGCTTGCAACCTCGATATGGCTTGTTCCAGGCATGCTTTGAAGCAAAACCCTGTTGAAGTAGTGGCGGGGATCTGCCCTGCAACTGCTAGAACAAAAATGATTCGATCTGAGGAAGCGTGAGACGGCGAAGCTCGGTTGACTATTGAGTAATTCAAGCCTTTTTTGACGAAGATAGAGTTCTTTTTGGAGGTGGATGTCGCGACAAAGGACACGTTGTCCGACTTCTGGCATCTGGTGAAGCCGGAGGTCATTTTTCCAGTCATGTCGGCAGCCTAACCATCGGTAAGCTTGTGTTTGGATCCCGTTCTGCTCAATGCGGTAGATCACAAACAATTTTGATATCGCACAAATTAAACTCTGCATCGTGCGTACGGTATTCTATTTTCAGAAAATCTCAAAGTGTCTCTGTGTGGCCGTCCTATGCCACGAGAAACTCCAATCAGGCTCAGTTACGTCCCCTGCCTTCTTGATTGAATGTCCACTTCGTTTGAACAATGAACACCACAATCAAGGACGGCTTTGCAATGAAAAATATAGCTATACTGGAGCTGAAAAAAGAAGAAAAAACGTGCTCAGGCTGAGAATCGAGTACACGTGTGGTCTGCCTGCAGGTTCTGTGCATGCCGCTCATAGATGCGTAATTTCGTGTGACGCTTCAGCCTCCGTCATATATAATTATGTATATGGCAGGAAAAATGAGATGTAGACTATACACGTATAGCTTACAAACTTAACCCGCACTTTACATTCAGTCACTCACCAAATTCCTGGAGATCCGGTTTCAACTCCACCGTAGCCGGTGGTCCAACACCAGCACCATTGACAGCTGCAACTGATATTTGGTATGTTGTGAAGTATCTCAGACCCGACAAGGAGATGGAGTTGTTGATCCAGCCTGGATCAATAAGAGAAGGACCAATGGCAACAAGAGATGGCAGGCAATGCAAGTTAGAACTTTGCAAATTCAACAATTGAAGTGTCTATGTGGTAGCGGAAACTCGAAGGTTTCCAATGAAATAATCGCCGCAGAGCTACAAGGTCCGAATCCAGAGATATCGCGCGTCGTTTTCTGATCTCAGCAAATGATAGGGAGGTTTCGCTCTACGTAATATACGTATGAAAATCCGTATGTCGTACGCACCGGGGAGCGAGCGCAACTTTCATACGTAAATCTCTCTACGGATTTCCGTAGGAACGCTTTTTCCTACATTGGGTCCTCCATAGGACTTTTTGAAATATTTTTCGCATTTTCAGGATTTATACACACCGTATGCGTGCACCATGTGCAAAATATATTGGAAAATGCGGTTTCGGTTCGTGGTGTCTGAAGGTTTCGGATTGATCTGACATGTCTAAGTTTTGCTACAGTGGTATTATACACAGCGATGTTGCAATTGTGGAATTCTATGTACAGCAATGGGATTGTCATGCTTGTATACAGTTGATATGTCCCTTGGTTCATCCTTTCCGGGTTAGTTCCTCTGTGCAGGGTCTTATAGCATGAGCTGACAGGTACTTGGCCACATTCGCAGGTTCTATAGGAAGCCAAGCTGGGTGTCTGAAATACCTCCTGGTTGGAGCACCACTGGTTAAACGTCAGCGAAAACACGTTCAATACCTGTAGACGTCCGAAGAAGTTGGTGCTCCACTTCCTCTCCATCACAATCCACCTGTACTTTCAGATCTACACTGCGGCACACAGTGTTCCTCAACATACTGTACGTCGAACTCATATTTCCCACACCAAAGCCCATCTGCACACGTCTGCTCCGCTCACCAGGGAGTACTGCGTTCGCTGCCTACTGCTTATGTTAGCGATGTTCCGCATAAGGGCACTCAAAATATAGACTTGAGAGAGCAACAGAATCCATTGATTGTTTTTTGCACTTGCAACCAATGCTGGCATTATCCCGGATATGTGCAGCGATGTGCACTCTAGCCAAATCATCGGCCGACTCACCTCCCAAGTCAGTGCCGATGCAAATAGCTTGCCAGGTTTTCATCAGAGTAGAACTCCTCGTCACTGCAGATTGTGGGACTGCCAGCATCAATTCTTTTACGCTCGATGAAAGTGTCGCCCTCAAATGACTCGTTGCTGTAGCCGTCGTGCATTGGGGCATGATCGATTGGGCGAATTCCGAGCAAGTGCACTCTGAGTGAGCGTACTTGTTTAGCCGAATCTGATCGAATCCGGAGTAGGTGCACTTGGAGTGTAATCCGACCACACCGGCCCCCCACACCCGGAGTGACTGGAGTGGAAATGGACTTTGGCGTTTTTTTGACAGCTTTCACAGAATCTTTGTATGATACACGTGCATTTTGCACACTGCACCCTCGCTTTGTTCGATTGGGCCAGCGTTGCTCGGACTACACCGCCTGCTCGCACTCAGTCCAGATTCGCCAATCGATGACACCCTTAGGGTCTTCCTTCAATACATGACGGTCCGCTTTAGGCGACTCACCGCAACATGGAATACAGACTCAAACAAATAAACTTACTTGCAACAAATAAATGCATTCAGAACAGTCCAGTCGACTGAGGAGAACAACAACTCGCATCGCGCTCCCCTTCGTATTTTTTGCCGCGGAATTGAAACCACGATTTTCTTGACTCTCCCAGAAAAGCTGTGGTGATGTTTTAGCGCGCTCTGGCTGATGTGTGTTTATCATACTACGGGAGGCAGTAGAGACAATGCACTCACTAAAACTTACTGTTATGGAAGGAGGCAGATCCATGTAGAGAGCATTTGTAATTCTGACATGGGCAGTCCTGATGCGTAGTGCACGAAGTTGCATTAAAAGTAATTCGATATCCAAAGAGTACTCCATGGGAAAGTGCTGGTGATAATGGCTGTAGGAAACATGCATGAAGCAAAGAAAGGATTTTTTCTTAAGTGGACACCCACATGAAAGTAGTATAGCAGACACATTGGTTTAGACTAAGACTGGAGCATTTTGCAAAAGTAAAGGCTGGATTTGAGGTCCACACATATTTTCCAAGTGTAAAGCAATAATTTCAGTAATCCTGAAATGCATGGCTCACTTCAAGTCGTCCCAAACACTCTTTACCTCAAACTATATTCATCCGAGATGCACTTTTAGTCTCAATACGTTGCATGTTCAGTGAGTCCAATCCCAAGTGCACTAAATCCTGTGTGCAGAGACAAGCACCCACTAGCCCGCTGTCATGGAGTACTTCCCTGTGTTGGTAAACATTGCAATATTCTGTACTCTAGTGTGCTATTGCCTTACTTTAAACTTGACTGTGACATGCCCTTGTGAAGTAGACACTGCAGAGAGCTTTCCCGGCTTCGCTGGACCTGCAGACATCAGATTAACGCAGAGTGAACAATTAGCATGGGTTTACAATTAGCATGGGTTTACAATTAGCATGGGTTTACAATTAGCATGGGTTTACAATTAGCATGGGTTTACAATTAGCATGGGTTTACAATTAGCATGGGTTTACAATTAGCATGGGTTTACAATTAGCATGGGTTTACAATTAGCATGGGTTTACAATTAGCATGGGTTTACAATTAGCATGGGTTTACAATTAGCATGGGTTTACAATGGTGAAGGAGGCCAGTGATTACTGTATAGCAGGACATTTTCGGACGGAAATATTTTCGGAAAAAGCCGAATTTCGACCTTTCGTACAGATTTTATTTCTGTACAGTGCTGCATCAGTGCATGCTAAATAAACGTGTTTGCAAGCAGTATGCATGTACCAGTACGTGTATAGTGCACATAATTTCACATGAACAAACTTTAGTACGGAGTTAATTTTAGTGCAAAAAGAGGCCGTGTGCGAAATCGTACGAAAATAAATTCCGTCCGAAAATTTCCTGGTATACTGTATGTCATGGGTGTATGGGAAAATGCATTTTTGATGTTGAGACTATTCCAAGACAACACAAAACAATACAATGACTCTTGATTGTACGTAAATCTCGATATACTTTTAACCCTTTATGTACTGATTTCCAGCACAGAATGAAGCAGAATTTGAATTTTCAGCACAATTTTCACCTTCAACAGGCTATAACTTTGGCCTCATTCGCTCCATTTCCACAATCTTGGGCTCTTTGGAAAGCTCCTGGCGAGAGCAACGCGAGGATACCAGGATCCATCAACTAGCTGCCACAAATCAGGCACAGGAACACATCAAAGTCGTCTCCAAGCCCAATATGCGAGCAAATTTCCCTATCAACGCCATTCCACTCTCCTTTATCGCAGAACGCTCAAATCATTTTGAGGCGATTCAAACTTCAGCCAACTACGTCATTATCATGTGCTGAGTTGGTCAAAGAGCACACGAAAAGGGATTTCCCCCTAAAATGGCGAAGAGATCGATAAAAAATTTGAATTTGCCGATACAAGAATACGGCGCGCGATATCTCTGGATTCGTACATCGTAGCTCTTCGGCGATTGTTGCATTGGAAAGCTTAGAGTTTCCGCTACTGAATAGACCCTTCGATTGTTGAATTCGGACAAGACATGATGGAGTTACGAAGGTTTTACGGATCGATCATGAATCGATCATATGTGATCGATTCGCGTACACACCGTACATAAAGGGTTAAAAGGATTTTAAAATCTCTGGACGACAAGGGTATCTATTACTGGTGCGGTCTGTCCTTGTTTTTCTTTTTTTTTTGATGTGTTTCAAGCCTCTTGTATGGGCAAAAATACCATCTTTGTCAATGATAGAAGTGCAACTAAAATCCAAAACATTTTAAAATGTAAAGAACTCAAAGCTGCCCTCTGTATTTCTCATTTGCTCTGTAGTTCCCCTGCTAATTGTTTTCTATTTTCGTATCTTTTTCTGTTTGGCGCGCATGAGCAGTGATGATACCGAGACCCCTGGTCGGTTTAGCTGCTCTTACCCCGCCTCCACTGCTTCGGCTGCCATCGCTGTGTGTACCTCTGTTTTGCCGGTGTTTGCAACATGATGGTTTGTGGCTCTTGTAAAAAAAAGAAGAATAAAGTCCTTCAAGACGTGCCATTCAGCTGGTCATGAAAAGAAGCCTCCCGTCCAAACAATGAATTTGCAGCAAAGCTAATATTTCAGACGCACGTGTCCTGCTGGAGATTACAAATATATCCAGGCTCCAAGTGCTGGAGCAAGCTATCGAGGCCAGGCTGATCGTTGAGTGTGCTCAGAGGCCGCGCGTTACTTGTCAAACAACTGTTCAGCAGATTTGTTGTAGCGCATCCGTGACCCTGCACTGAACCAGAGGGTATGCAGATAGCTCAGCTGCAAGGAGTCTTTCGTCATTGTTAGGACAGGAGGCTGATTTTCGCTACCCGTTTTGGTTTCCAGAACAGCAGAATGGTACTTCGTGAGTACCGTATGAAGATTGCTCGTGGTCGCTACCGCAGTACGAGTAACCTTTCTTGCAGATGGAGCAGACGACTACATTGCATTTCGCGTATTTGTTATCAAAGTTCTCCCACACTTCTTTATGCGATGGCCAACTTGAAAGTTTGACATGATTCTGACAACGGTAGAACCTTTGCATTCAAGAACTGGTGTCACAAGCGACTTCTTTCACTACAAATCCATTCACCAAAAAGATGATAATTATACAGAACAGTTTCACAACACTAGGACTGTCTGAACAACACTCCTTCAACAGAGGTTTGCAAGTATGCATCTGCCGTTAATACTAATCATTGCCAGCACTGTATACACACCACACCGTTGATCAGGGTTTGAGCTCGCGGCCTTGCGATTACCATGAGTGGAGGTCGCGTAGATCAACCGTACCGGGTGCTCGAATCGGAGGCAGGGTACCAAAATGGAAACCGTCTAAATAATACCGAAGTTCGACCCGATTTCATTTATTTTTCACAAATACTACCAACATACGGCCCTCTAACGAGAAGCCAAATTTCAGCGCAGCCCGGCAAACGGTTTTGACATACTCGCGACCCACTTTGCTGGGTCCTTGATTCGGAGGATGTGGGTCTACGATACGGGACAGCCGAAGACCTGATGAATCTGCGGAATCACTGACAATCTTGGTTTCAACCAGGGAGTGGTAGGTTCTCAACTGACATACGAAACTCATCATCATGGTATCATGGTAGACCCAGGTTCTCGAATTAGACGATTTGATCAGTGAGTTTGCTGTTTCTGTTTCGAGACCTAAATTCTCAAATAGTTACGAGTTTTTTTTCATGGAAAATTAATTCTCTCACTCAGCGCACTCGTATGCGCACGAAATAAGACAAGATTACTGCGTACTGTAGCTTGTGTTGTAGCGCATCCAGGTTTTGAATTCCCCGCTGGGTGGGCCAAGCCAGACTCTCTTCCCCGTTTCATCGCCTCTCCAAAGTATATTTCTGACATTGTTGAGATTTACAGATGAGAAATATCACACCTGTCAAATCGTTTCCGATTCGAGTACCCGAGTCCAGCATGTGCATGTCGTGTAGCGTACGGAGTACATGCATGCAGCATATACTAAATACTATACAGGCAAGCACATTATTGTGCATGGGCAGTGTTCAGTTAGAGCAAAGGCGAGAGTTTTTCTTTGTATGGACTAGGATGGAGAGCCAAGGATTAATTGATAAAAATTAAAATGAGCTGATTGTTTAGTAACTGGTGGTGCTAGTGGATATTATAGCGTAACTTTAGGGTTCACGGCTTGCCACTAAAAGCACCCGTCACGTGCGCCTCCATTTTGGATTATGGACGCGCGCTACAGGCCGCGACAGCGCCTATCGAAGTAAAAAAATATCGACTCGAAGTCTAGCCGGAGAGCGTACTTTTTGAATTTTTCCTTGGCTTCAGTGGCTTCACTTCACTCGGGCTTTGCATTTTTCTGACTGACCTGGAGTGCTGGACTTGATGATGGCGGCGGTGGCGGTCTTGGCGAAAGATCCAGCTCCATCTGAGACACTCTGTCGTCTTTTCTTATCTGCTGAGGTTCTGGCAAAGCGCAGCTGCATCGAACCTGACTAGATGTAGCTGCACGCATCCTTTGTTTGCCCTGCAAATCTCGATCTGTTGCTCTTCTTGCTGTTTGGCCGCTGATGCCATGGAAGAAAATATTCTTCCTGTAAAGAGGCCGAAACTGAGCTAGGGCACGTCAAGATATCTAGGGTATACAAAAAAAAAGAAATGTCATGGTCGTTTCAGCAGCTCACGACAGCCAACACGCTCCATCGTCGGGATTGGAAGTATCCAGTACGGCTGTTCCGAGCGCTGCTGCTCTTGTTATTCTTCTTCTTCAGAAATTCTCCACACCTTGTCGGCCAAAGTACGCGCGCGCGTGCACGGAAAATAGATGCGCTGAGCCGTTTCTTGTTCGATTTTGACAAATAATGGCTTGTTGTTTTGCTCTCGACCTTGGCTATCCTTCTACCGTTCAGTATTTTACGGAAACGCAACGGCTCCCCCTGTTTTTTTAGCCGAACTTTGGCCAAAGTTACTGGAAAACCCGGAACTCGTTTGAAAAAATACGAACGGTGGAAGTCTTGGAACGTCTTTCGTGCGTGTGGATTCAAAAATTCAGGCAGTTTGAGCCAACCGTAATGAATCCCGTAGAGTTGAAAGTGAGTGATATTGATGGGAAAATACGATTTGAGCACTGACCGATTGTGTGTGGGACAGTATATGCACGCGCCTGTCACGTGCATGATGTAGCTGGCGACGCTAGCATGCCAATCCGTGAACCCTAAACTTGTAGTTCCTTGGTCTATTTTCATTCGGGTTTTTTTTCAAATTTGTTGAACAAATACTCTAAATGTTGTTTCTCTTGTTTGTTCATTTCACCCCTTGTAGAAAATTCAGAGAGAGAACACCACATGCATCTTACGTGACTCGGGTGTCCGGAGGTCGAGAATTGGACCTGGTCCACTGCGACCAACTGCATTCTCTGCACGATACCAGCAACTGTACTTGGTGTCTGGTTGAAGACCAGTAACAGTGACACTGGTCACTGAAAACCTCTGTACAGTGTCCTTCACATATGATCTGTACTCCACGTACGGTCTACAAGTGACTTCATAACTTGTTATCGGTGAATCGCCCGTTGATGATGGTGGAACAAGACGCAGACGAACAGACCTTGCCAGAAGTGTGCTGGACATGATCATAGCTGGTACTGGTTTGCGCCAGAATCTTGGTATGTCTGCAGACCGGCAAAATAAAATATCCACATTGGAACACAACATGCAGCAAACACATCGAACTGCCAGGTTTGCTACTGGACATCAGGCAGGCCCGTAGCAGCCTCATTTTGGTTGGTCCGGCAAGATCCGACTTCGATGCCCCCCCCCCCCCCCCCCCGAGCCAATACTCATACATATGCAGGTACATGTACAAAATGTACATGATTGTACATACATTGTTCATGTACATGTACATGCATGTAATCGTGACCATGCAGAGTGACATAGGGCGAGAAAAGGAAGAAGGACGTTCGACATGAGTCAGGAAAAAGGGCATCAGCATGTTGTGTCCATCCAAACAGAACCTGTTGAAGCCTATGAAGGCATAACAACCGTATCTAAACGCATGTGATGAAGAACCAAAATGGACCTTTGGAGGAGGAGAAAGGATATTGCAATGGAATATCTTTGGTACAAACCCTATCTAGAAAGAATTGGAGGAAGAAAATAATCAATACATTTCAGGAAGTACAGTGTAGGAACATTCACGGGCAAGACGACTGTCCACATGACCTTCAGCAGGGTCATACTCCTGAAAGTGATGACATGTAGCCATGTAGGTCTACTACCGGCACTACTATGTACTACCTCTATGCTACTTATTGCACACATCCTCATCAATGGTACCGGGTGGACATCCTGAGCTGCTCACATCTGTGAGGTCCCGGTTTTTTGGGGGGGGCTCGAATATTGGTCCTGCAGCTGCCGGACCTGCCGGACCGCCTGCTACAGCCCTGTCAGGGACACCACTCAGATCAATAGCATCCAGTTCACTAGTGTCTATTCAGCTCAGATCCCGCCTAACATTTTCAAACCGAAAAGAAATTAGCAGACGCCATCCACAGCTACTGTTCATGACTCAGGTATGGAGAACTCACCGAGCACACGTAGATAAAGCTGTCCAGTGGCACGTCCAAATGGGTTTGACACCGAGCATGTATACGTTCCAGAGTTGCTGACAGACACTACTCCGCCAAATCCATATGCTCCTTTCCTAGATGCTAATGCAACTCCGTCCTTAGTCCAGGTGTATGTTACAGGTGAAGAACCAGTGGCTCTGCACAGCAATCGGAGTGATCCGATCTTCCAAGATGTTGACATCACCGTCATTGACCTTGTGATGAAGGCGATTTTCGGCTTTTCTTCACAAAGAATAGAGGAGAACCACCCCCAGACAAATGACACATAAAATCAGTTTGCAGATGTTACAGAAGATTTCAACAATCCAGGAAAATCAGGCTTTGCTATGTTCTTGCACTACTGTAAGGCATGTTATTATAACGAATCGCAAATTTAACGATTGTCCAAAATCCATAGGTTAACGAGAAGATATGTTAACGATCTTGCAGTATTCTGCCATATCCACACACAGCATATATGAAGCAGTACGGCCTCAACGGATCTATTATAACGAAGAAATGTCATCCGTTAAAACGTTAGATTTACTTCCTCGTTAAATATACATGTCTTATAGTAATTAATGTGTGAAGCTTATGTTGTGCACATGGCGTGCAACACAATCCTAAACGGATGGAGGTGTCGGGTCACATTGAGCAAATGGTCACCTTCTACAAGCTGTTGTATTGACTGTTAGCGAGACCTTGGTTGCCAAAACCTAGACATCCTAGATGTAATCTTCAGTTTCTTTTTACCATACTTTTGTTTTTTTGTTTTTTTGATGTTTAGACGTATGGACCGTAGATATACTGAAGTACAAAATTTGGCAATATTTCAGCATTTCACGATTTTCGATATTTCAGCAGCGATTTATTTTCGGCATGGGTTACAGTACATCACCAGAGCCGACAAGAAAATTTTCATCTGCGTTCCAATTTCGGCGTTCTGGGTCGGTGCCGAATATAGCCGGTGAAATTTCGTATATTTACAGTACTGCTCTTCCGTAAACTATGCCGAAGGCTTTCAGTGTGATTTCTCAAAGTCCTTTTGATGACAAAAGGGTATTTTTTCATGTGATGGCTCAAAAGCATCAGAAAATTCTTTCAGACAGATGGTCATTCAAGATGAGAACGTGAGATAGGAGTAAAGAGCTACGAGTTCAAACTAGCGGGTCACAAGAAACGCATAATTAGATCAGTTGTATGAGTCAATGAAGCCAGCGGGAAAAGCGCAAGCTCGAATGATCCGATCAACCAACCTATGTGATTATGTAACAGGGTTTTCATTTGAGACGACGAGACCCCACGGCGCTTGCAGACCACAGCACGAACAGTTCACCAGCCACACTCCACGAAAGCAAGTAGTATTACTCCGGACAAGTCTCGTTCGTTCCACATTTCCAAATTTCGTTTCGGTCAAATGAAAAACCTATAACTACTATTTGATGGACCTATTGAAGATGGCAACAAAGAACTATGTGATTATGTCCATCTGAATAATCTACTGACAAGCGATCCATACTTACTGCCTACTATTAGATGGAAGTAACTCAGCGGCAAATTCTTTGCAAGTCCCAATTCCGGATAACTGCATGAGTACAACCCAGCCACGCTCTTGGTTATGATGCTTGGCCAAACAATAGTGCGGTAATTGTACGCAGTTCGAGTGCTTGCCACCCAGGTGACGAGCTTGGAAATATTGAAACCTGGAATGCTGGACACTAGAGAGTCTCGGTGATACCAGAATGATGCCGGGTATGGCTGGCGAGGAGAGTTGAATCCGTCTCGCGTGAAGGGACCTGGTATACAGCAGGTGATGGATGGCAAGGAACTAGAGGACTCATTTTCAACTGCGTATACAGCCGCACCGCGGACGACATCGAATAGTGTGAAGTGGCGAGGGCACACTGTAAGCAGGTACACCCAAACGAACAAAAAATACGATCTCACGTCTAAGAAGAAAGGCAATAATTATCCTGAAAACACGTTAGGATTGTACCTCACCACAGTCCACATGCCAATGCCCAAATAAAATATAAATTTCATGGTTCGAGTTTTCCGCATCTGCCGTGGGAATGCGACCACCCTCTAGGATCAAGGCGCAGAAGCAGCGCCTAAACGGTGGGAGGTGAGTAGATCAGACCCACCACCAAGTGGTCAAAGACCGAAATCCCATTAGCTGCATCCATTCAACAGTGCCCAAATGCCAAAGATCATTGAAGCTAGCTGGTTAGTCTACTTGGCTTGTTAGTCTACTTGGCTTGTAATCTATATGACTGCATCTCGCATTGAATGTGATTTACTGGGACTTAACCTTACCGGGGCACTTGATCTCTGGAATAAGACATTAGCTTTACATGTGTACTGTACGCAGAGAAATTTTCTTGCCGTCGCATGCAGCTAAATATGGTATTATCATACTATCATGTCATAAGCTGACCATCAGCTGCATGGAAAACAAGACCACGTTTGATTCTGAGCAATGGATGCATAGGGTATCGCAGCCGCCTCACACCAACTCTGTTGGGCCCTGTTGATTAAAGGCAGTCGTCCATCTGTGCATGTAATTGTAAGAATGAAGTAGCACTCCCAGTGAAAAGTTCCGTACATTCTTTATCATCCTCTTTCTAGTAATTCTAGAAACTTAGGAGAAAGAGTGTGCATGCAGTCATACCATGACACAAAAAACAACAATTCTTCATCGATTTAAACATTGTTTCCTTGTGACTTCTTGTGACATCCTCTTTCTATTAAACAGTGGATCTGTCCTAATTGAGTATGAATTTTGGATGAACAGAGTGTCACAGAGTCCTCGGAAAAATACTTGAAGTACCATCCGACTCTGCACCCAGAAGACTACGAGTTGTGGGCTGATGCCTGGATGTGTCATCGTATTTACATCTGTTCCTCCCTATAAATATAGCACGTTTTACGCTGCGCAAAATATGGACTTTGAATGGAATCTAATCTGTAAGAGTGAACCTTTCAGAGGTGTGGTAAGTCAAGCATTGACAATTTAGCCTAGTATCATCACCATCACCTTGTACACTGAGCATGGCGTGTAAAATCATAATAATTATGATGGTTTTACTCACGTGGAAACGCGTTCGGCTGTCCGTGCGTGAATTGGCTCATACTAACCAACACTATACACAGTAGACTGTAGCGTGTCTGTGCCATCTGTGAGAGAAGAGAGAGAGAGCAGAACAGGCACAGTGGATATACTGCTGTCACACAGTCATTTTAAGTTCAAAGCTATCAATTTTAAAATAGTAAAAATCCTGTCAAGGCGACCACTTGGATAAGGCGACCACCTGTCCTAGAAGACCATTGAAACCAGGATCAAGGGATGCTATTTCCAGTCAAATGACCCTGGATGATGAGACCACCTGGTAACAGAGGCCACGTTTTGAAGGTCGCTTGAGCGGTCGTCTTAACTGACAGGTTTCACTGTAGATTGGAATATGCAGTTTCAGCTGTGAAGAAACCTCCTGAGTGGGCAGGAGTACTGAAAAATTGTGAAAATGGACACAGTATACGCTAAGATGCATTTCAGCTACCCTCGGGCAGGCTAAACTGCCGACTGTGTGACTCTAACAGGGTAGGAACGAAAACAAAACTTACATCTCTCTGCATGCTCACAAGGTCATTTGCCAGGCTCTGCACTCACCACTGTCAAGCTCCAGAAATAATCTAGAACACTACTTTGTATAGCTCCAGTCTGCCAGACATTATAACAACTACAGGACTGTCGGGTTCCAAAGACCTGGGGGGGGGGGGGGGGGGCAGCCTCGTAACCTAGCCCCGTTCATATTTTCATGGACTATGGTCTATGCACAGTTTAGTCACCGTCAGGGCTCACCACGACCATACAAAATTCAAAAAGCGTCGACCACCATTTTGAAACAAAATGCCGACGCCGCGGAGGCCAAAGCTTGTGCAGGCATAGCAGCTACACACCCGAGTTCATGCTGACCGATGTACAGCGATGTGCAGCCGAGTCGTACAGTACCGGTAGTTTACGACTCCCTGGTTAGTCTGTACAGCGAATGGCCAGTGCCGAAGAGAATCTTGTTGTTTGATGCCGGGAAAGACACGCGGAGAAGACGTTCTTCAAGCCATCTTGGTCATTTTTCTCAATCCGCTGGCGCATGTCGACCAAGATGTTTTTGTGAGATACTGGTGAACTGGAGTCCTGGCATCTACAAAAGTTTTCCACCCTGGCTAACCAATGTTGTCAGTAGAGCTCAGCGTTTCCTGATCACGACTCAGCACACTCTTTTCAGTTTGACCTCGCAGCTTTCACCCTGTGAGTGTGGAGTTTCCTGGCCACAAACGAATTCCTTGGTCATGATTCATGACCATAGTGACCAGTGACTGGTATGATTCCTGACTGACCCGAGTCCTTAGCTTGAGTTAACACGAAGGTAAACTCTTCACTTGGGACGCTTGCTGGCTCCTCGGCCCTTTCTTGTTGCATTTGCAGATATGCGCAAGGCTACCAGGCTTGTTGGTGTGCGCGGGAACGCACGGCCGACCTTGACGTCTTCAAAAAACTTAAACAGCGGTTCTACTTGGCCGATTCTCACCGTCGATAGCTCATTTTCAAGGTCTTGGAATTCTCTATCGGTTTACCGTTCCTGATTTCTATATTTTCTCTTCATTCACTTGTTCGCACGTCTTCGAGTTCGAGTGATTTCACCATCCGATCTCAGCCAAACGAAGGCCAAATCGAAAAATTCGAGACAGTAACCCTCCAAAGACACACCTTCTGAACACGAATCCACAATGGCCTGATGTCTAAAACCAACGAATACAGCCAAGCTAAGCTCAGAAAACACCCCGCAATTTCAAGAAACGGCTCGTTTTGCCGTGCTCTGATTGGTCAAATCCAAATGACCGTTATTGATGCTTCGTACGGTCGTGGTGATCCCTGACCGTGTATACATGGGTATGCTTCGCTTGGTGAAATTCTAACCTGTCCGTTCTTTGGCGCCCAACAGTAATCTACATACTTCGGCTGGTCGGCTTTCATCAGGCAATTCAAACATAATATCTGGGAGAGCTCGACTTTTATGGATGTCACCAGTAGTCGAACAGAGCGAAGCATGTATCAGACTACCAGCTCAGCTGTTAATCTACAATTTTATTACTCTACCTAAACAATATTTAAAACCTGAGTGCATGGTTCCCCAGGGTTGTGATCAGTAACATGGGAAGCCTTTTTGGGAATTTTCATTCATGATATTTCCCAAACTAAAAGACTAAAATCATGGGATTGCACTCGTTCAAACCAATTCATGTAGTCAACTTCGCGTATAACGACTCTCGGCGGGGCATCAGAAAAGTGTCCTTATTCGTGAAGTGTCCTTATACCCGAAGTCTCATTATAATGTAGTACAGTTAGATGGGACTTTGCTCTGGGAATGGAAATTCTGTCGTTATTCGCGAATTATCGTTATATCCGCAGTCGTTATTAGCGAAGTTGACCGTCAATGTAATGTAGGGGGGGGGGGGGGGGAGGGGATTCTGTGAGGAAGTTTGTGAAACTGCTTACAGTTAGAAAGAACTATAGTTTCCGCCGCCGCAGTCTGTACAGGCAGGCTTTTGATGGTGAGAAGGCTCTCTCCAATCGGGTACTAGTCTGTGAGCAGTCTGTGAGCAGTGGCCGACCTCTACTGTGCTCTATTCAATTCTGTTTCTTGTCTACTCGGACACTATTAGAGATTATGCTATTTACGGACTCGTGGGGGCTGATGTGCATATTATACTACACGGTCACATTTGGCTTCCCATGACCTGTATTTTCCGTACAAAGACGCTTTCGAAAGCCAGTAAAAAAAGTGAAAGAACAGCGCAGTACGAGACTTACGGCCATAGTGAAAGAATTCGTTTCGAGGACAGCTGTTCACAATTGCCGGCGATGACAGGCGATGAAAGTGGAATTGTTATGTGCCAGACGTCCAGTCCAACTTTGAAGCTGTACCGACAACTTCCTATTTTCAAAAATAGCGAAGAGTAAACTTTGAAATAGCGCCAGTACGACAAGAGTCACGGAAATTGTAAGAATATTTCTTACAATCATATCTGTTGAACTGCATGGCGTTTTCCGTCAGCCGGACGCATTCCTACTCGGAGTGACCTGGTGACCATCATCTTTTGACTATCCAGGTAGACTCACGATTCAAGTGGTGACGCAGTCAGCAGGCACGACAAAGAGGAGAGTAGTAGTGCGAGGGTCATTTCCAACAGCGAACACTACTCTGGTCTGGACTGAGTCTGGTGCTCAGCTAGACAACTGATTGTGTTTCTCAACGTTACCGGCTCCGTGTTGCAACACAGAGGTAGAGGTAACGCGCACGCGCGGATGTGCGAACTAATATTACTTTACTCTTTTTTTTACACTGCATCGTTTGAGTTTGCTCTCACGACCAGCACACATAGAGTCTATACTACTGTTGTGGACATGGAAATCCGGTCGCACGTCTAGCGGCCCCAGAGCGCTGGCCATGAGTTATTAAAACGGTACACACAATATGCGATGTAGCGCGCTAGTCGCATCGGATCAACATGTACATGTGCACTGCACGCAGTGTTCTGACTTCTGAGGGCGCCGGCCCCGTTCAATCGACTGGATTTCCATGTCCGCTACAGTAGTAGTACTAGATCTACAGTGCTGGCAACTGAAATCCGATCCCCGTAAAAGAGGCCTGTCGGAGCATGTAGTACAGTCATACTATTATCCATATAAAAATCGCTCTGTGAGCGGTTCTGAAAAACCTTTACTGGTACTGCCCCGTCGTAAAAGTAAGAAATTAGAACTGGCCCATTGTCCCCCCAAATGCGAACTGATCCACCTAAATCGCGAATGACGGGACCCGAACGCACCAGTAGCACGAGGTCGGGAGGGCACAGGATCACGGCAATTATCATAGGCAGTAGAATTTATTATTTTGATAGGGAAGCCTACCGCTAGTACAGTACATGGCCTATGGTCCGGACCAACGTCCGCATCTGCATCCACAGGTAGGAACCCCGTGCTACTGGTGCGTTCGGGTCCCGTCATTCGCGATTTAGGTGGATCAGTTCGCATTTGGGGGGACAATGGGCCAGTTCTAATTTCTTACTTTTACGACGGGGCAGTACCAGTAAAGGTTTTTCAGAACCGCTCACAGAGCGATTTTTATATGGATAATTTCAGCTCTTTTTCTGTTCCCTCCCCACCCCAACCCCGAAGGTAAACATGATGACCACGCGCGCGATGTACTGTATGTAGCCATGCGACTGCAATAACACACTGATACATACCAGCCCTCCCCGCCTCGCTACCCCGCACACAGATACACAAACATGTGTATGCACACGGCACACACACGTGGCCACGCACACATACGCACATGCACACGACACAAACAGGAAATTCTTCATGTATAATGCCATGCAAAGCAGTGGCCACCGTACTTGAGGAAGTCAGTTGAGAAACAAAAATAATTCAACTACAGCGTGTAGACAAGCTGACGGCCAAAGCACAACATAGCAAACATGACATTTGCCCAAGGATTGCAGTTTGCAGACCATGGAAGCAGCGAATACAGAATGTAATATCATACAAAGTGACAAGCAAGGACGTGGCCATCATACACCAGAAACTTGCAGAAAGTCACATATCCAACAGATAGAGAAGTGAACAGCAATCTGATACAGCCCACACAGGACAAAGCGGGCCTGATACTCGTCCTAGGATCGCAAGTGGCAAACCCTTTTCAATGCATAACATGCAGGTGTACGTTAGACGCATGAACATCTGACCGTGTCGCCAGCATACAATGTCATCACATGTTTACCCCACAAGTTACACACATGCACAGTAGAAGCACAATGAAAGCAATGGAAAAGTACGATGTGGTTGCTGAAGCATCTTCACACTTCAAATTCAGACTTCAATGTGGTCGTCATGGGATGATATACCTGCAAGATACAAGTGATGAAGAAAGAAGGTCGTGAGGTAGGCTATGAGACACCACAAACGGTTCACCTACATGTCTGTTCAGGGCTAGTGCATTCACACGGAGAATTGTCGTAATCGAGCATTTCCCAAACTGAGAAGTGCAATGAAATCCACTTGCATGCACAGGAGCAATTTTGCAATTATTATGATGCGCAATTCGACACGATCTGCGATGCTGCGTGCGATGTGCCCTGCTGTCATGATAGTGACAGTCACCGCGGTATGTTTTGTCAACGTCGCCCGTGCACTCTTCTGTCAAGTCCAAAGTGCTCACATACTTGGCAATGTTTTTGCAGTGATTAACTTTTATCCTAGTTATGTCACGGGTAACTTTAATGAAGTACCCGCAGGCCGTGTCGATCTGCACATCGTTCACTCTCTCATGTACTTGGCCTGCTTTGTCTGTGTATCCATTTCATGTGCGATCCACAAAATCGACTAGACAGTGGGTGCAATACGCTCTCTACCTGAAGACGTTCTTCTGGCGACATCTCGCCATGTACTTGGCCTGGCTTTGTCTGTGTATCCATTTCATGTTCGATCAACAAAATCTCAATGCACTACAGAGACTAGACAGTGGGTGCAATACGCTCTCTATCTGAAGACGTGAACCATTAAATTTTTTGGAAAAGTTATACGTACACCTGAAACGTAATGAAGTACAGGAATAGAGAGAGTGACTACAATACGCTCTCGACCTGATATAGTGATAACGTGAGTACAAGACACTCTCCACCTGATAACGTGTTAGAAGGTTGTTCATGTCTACAGTCCCACCGTACCCTTCCGACACGACTGTAGACCATTTTTTTTTTTGAGAAGTTATACGTACACCTTAAACGTAATGAAGTACAGGAATAGAGAGAGTGACTACAATACGCTCTCGACCTGATAACGTGAGTACAAGACACTCTCCACCTGATAACGTGTTAGTAGAAGGTAACAGGTCTACAGTCCCACCGTACCCTTCATCATTCCTCATTCACCATCGCGCGATACCCTGGCACACACTGGCAACATATCAATGGGGTGCCTTACCGTCGTCTAGAGGAGACGTCTTCGCAGCAATATTTTCCCTCCTGCGCATTCAGTCGCCGACGCGACAGCGTTCACGGGGCCGTTCCAGTTGCGGAAGACATTCGATTCATCGGGCCAATTCAGCAACAGGGCCGTGGACACACAGGGGGCAGAGGAGAGACATTGTTAGTGGACAAGAAATATGCAGTGGCAAGTGGCGAGTGCCGCATGGATGTCAAGTTGTCATGCACAATTCAGCTATTACTTACGGTCCAGCTAGTCCTGCCATTGCTCGCTCGTCCTGGTTCCTCCTCGTTCGTCTTCCTGCACGTCTGCACTTCTCCTTCCCCACCGTTGGCTTTGCGGTACGGGGGTGCCGGAAGGAATTCCCACCATGTATCCATGTACATGAAGTCCCACCATGACTCTCCATGCACATGCCCACGGCCACGTCAGCAGTTTGTATAGTACCGGAAGGAGTTCCCACGATGTCTCCAAAGGCCTAGAGCGGACGTCTTTGCAGCAATTCTTTTCGCCCTGCGCATTCAGTTCGCCGACGATGTCTCCAAAGGCAAAGGCCTAGAGCCTAGTAGAGGGGACGGACGTCTTTGCAGCAATTCTTTTCACCCTAGTACCCTGCACATTCACTCCGCCGACACGACAGCGTTTACGGGGCCGTTCCAGGTGCAAAAGGTCCACGTCAGCAGTTCTCAACTATTTCGCGTACGGGATAGTCGCCGCGACAGCGTTTAAGGGGTCGTTCCAGGTGCAAAAGGTATCCATCAATGGCACTTTGCAGTATGGGGTACGGAAAAGGGGCCTCCTCGTTCGACTTCTGCAGTTCTCCTTCCCGTCAGGGGTACCGAAAGGGGCCTCCTCGCAGTTGTCCTTGCCGTCAGGTCCGGACGTCCACGTCATGCAATTCTCAACTATTTCGCGTACGGGATAGTCGTCTTTGTCGTACGCGACATCGGCGTTTACCGAGTGGCATTGGCACAAAGCAGACCGTTGACGGGGTCACGTGTCAAAAAAGTATCGACAAAGTGTCGACTACGTGTCGACCACGTGTATAGCGGTACACTCAGCGGTACACTAATTCTCGTGCCATTCTCGTGTCACAAAACTGGAACATCGAGTACCAGTATGGAAAGGCTTCAGACAGGAAGCCTTTCCAATTATCGCACCCCACGTGAGTGTTTCCATGGTTTGAGCCAATCAGCGGCCTTACTGAGCGTGCAATATTCCCCAGTACACCGCCAGCCAATGATTATATTATGTGGATGCACTGCAGTGCGCATGCGATCTTGGCTTATTGCACCCCGGCGAGTGAGCGTGCAAATAACCTATTTGCACGCTCACTTCGAAGCGAGCGTGCAAATAGGTTATTTGCACGCTCGCTTCGAAGTGAGCGTGCAGATATAGGTTATTTGCACGCTCACTCGCCGGGGCGGGGGCCGGTGCAATATCGCACTGCAGTGCATCCACATAGTCATTGGCTGGCGGTGTACGAGTACTGGGAATATTGCAAGTCGCTCCGCCAGGCCAGGGAGTCGCTGCTGACTTGCTGCAGCACACCAAATAATAATTGGTCGAAGACGCTGTCGATGTCGCGGAAGCGAATGTGGACCCGGCTTGCGTCCGCCAAGTCAACTACTTCACAAGCTCCGTGAGAGTCGAGACAGCGGACGCCCAAGTATTGGAGAAGACTGTCGACAGCCGATTTGAGAAACTGTCCGACGCCGCCATCGAACAGCCTCGTTTCTGAGCAGAAAAACAAAAAACACAGAACTGACAAATGGCTCCGCTTATTCGACGAGTATTGTAAAGATACAGGACGTCACTGTGACCTGAGTACGGTTACGGCAAGCGACCTAGCTTACATTCTGCGACATGCATAGATCTACGTCGAATTGCGTCCGAAGAAAGCTGGAGTGAAGTTCTACTCTGCATCAAACTTGCTCGGCTTCCGTTCCGCAATACATCGCAAGCTAGTCGAGTTGAAGCGGCCCATGAACGTCCACAGTGACCCAGCGTTCAAGGACGCAAACATTGCATTGAAGGCCTTCCTCATGATTCATGAAGCCAAAGAAAGCGGGAGAAGTCAAAGCGGTGGAGCACAAACACCCCATCAACGACGACGACATGAGCAAGCTGT